TCTTATTTTTGACTTTTTTCACTGAGATCAACACTGGAATTGTTCAAAACACTAAAATTTACTGCTTCTCAGTACTTCTAATCTGTTTCAAAGATTATGAAGCTGAACTTTCATGAATTTGCAGAAAATTACACAGTGGTGCATTTTTGACTTATTTCACTGAGAGAAAGCTTTTTTCGTCTTAGTCTTATTTTTGACTTCTTTCACTGAGATCAACACTGGAATTGTTCAAAACACTAAAATTTACTGCTTCTCAGTACTTCTAAGCTGTTTCAAAGATTATGAAGCTGAACTTTCATGAATTTGCAGAAAATTACACAGTGGTGCATTTTTGACTTATTTCACTGAGAGAAAGCTTTTTTCGTCTTAGTCTTATTTTTGACTTCTTTCACTGAGATCAACACTGGAATTGTTCAAAACACTAAAATTTACTGCTTCTCAGTACTTCTAAGCTGTTTCAAAGATTATGAAGCTGAACTTTCATGAATTTGCAGAAAATTACACAGTGGTGCATTTTTGACTTATTTCACTGAGAAAGCTTTTTTCGTCTTAGTCTTATTTTTGACTTCTTTCACTGAGATCAACACTGGAATTGTTCAAAACACTAAAATTTACTGCTTCTCAGTACTTCTAAGCTGTTTCAAAGATTATGAAGCTGAACTTTCATGAATTTGCAGAAAATTACACAGTGGTGCATTTTTGACTTATTTCACTGAGAGAAAGCTTTTTTCGTCTTAGTCTTATTTTTGACTTCTTTCACTGAGATCAACACTGGAATTGTTCAAAACACTAAAATTTACTGCTTCTCAGTACTTCTAAGCTGTTTCAAAGATTATGAAGCTGAACTTTCATGAATTTGCAGAAAATTACACAGTGGTGCATTTTTGACTTATTTCACTGAGAGAAAGCTTTTTTCGTCTTAGTCTTATTTTTGACTTCTTTCACTGAGATCAACACTGGAAATGGTCAAAACACTAAAATTTACTGCTTCTCAGTACTTCTAAGCTGTTTCAAAGATTATGAAGCTGAACTTTCATGAATTTGCAGAAAATTACACAGTGGTGCATTTTTGACTTATTTCACTGAGAGAAAGCTTTTTTCGTCTTAGTCTTATTTTTGACTTCTTTCACTGAGATCAACACTGGAAATGGTCAAAACACTAAAATTTACTGCTTCTCAGTACTTCTAAGCTGTTTCAAAGATTATGAAGCTGAACTTTCATGAATTTGCAGAAAATTACACAGTGGTGCATTTTTGACTTATTTCACTGAGAGAAAGCTTTTTTCGTCTTAGTCTTATTTTTGACTTCTTTCACTGAGATCAACACTGGAATTGTTCAAAACACTAAAATTTACTGCTTCTCAGTACTTCTAAGCTGTTTCAAAGATTATGAAGCTGAACTTTCATGAATTTGCAGAAAATTACACAGTGGTGCATTTTTGACTTATTTCACTGAGAGAAAGCTTTTTTCGTCTTAGTCTTATTTTTGACTTCTTTCACTGAGATCAACACTGGAATTGTTCAAAACACTAAAATTTACTGCTTCTCAGTACTTCTAAGCTGTTTCAAAGATTATAAAGCTGAACTTTCATGAATTTGCAGAAAATTACACAGTGGTGCATTTTTGACTTATTTCACTGAGAGAAAGCTTTTTTCGTCTTAGTCTTATTTTTGACTTCTTTCACTGAGATCAACACTGGAATTGTTCAAAACACTAAAATTTACTGCTTCTCAGTACTTCTAAGCTGTTTCAAAGATTATGAAGCTGAACTTTCATGAATTTGCAGAAAATTACACAGTGGTGCATTTTTGACTTATTTCACTGAGAGAAAGCTTTTTTCGTCTTAGTCTTATTTTTGACTTCTTTCACTGAGATCAACACTGGAATTGTTCAAAACACTAAAATTTACTGCTTCTCAGTACTTCTAAGCTGTTTCAAAGATTTTGAAGCTGAACTTTCATGAATTTGCAGAAAATTACACAGTGGTGCATTTTTGACTTATTTCACTGAGAGAAAGCTTTTTTCGTCTTAGTCTTATTTTTGACTTCTTTCACTGAGATCAACACTGGAATTGTTCAAAACACTAAAATTTACTGCTTCTCAGTACTTCTAAGCTGTTTCAAAGATTATGAAGCTGAACTTCCATGAATTTGCAGAAAATTACACAGTGGTGCATTTTTGACTTATTTCACTGAGAGAAAGCTTTTTTCGTCTTAGTCTTATTTTTCACTTCTTTCACTGAGATCAACACTGGAATTGTTCAAAACACTAAAATATACTGCTTCTCAGTACTTCTAAGCTGTTTCAAAGATTATGAAGCTGAACTTTCATGAATTTGCAGAAAATTACACAGTGGTGCATTTTTGACTTATTTCACAGAGAGAAAGCTTTTTTCGTCTTAGTCTGATTTTTGACTTCTTTCACTGAGATCAACACTGGAATTGTTCAAAACACTAAAATTTACTGCTTCTCAGTACTTCTAAGCTGTTTCAAAGATTATGAAGCTGAACTTTTATGAATTTGCAGAAAATTACACAGTGGTGCATTTTTGACTTATTTCACTGAGAGAAAGCTTTTTTCGTCTTAGTCTTATTTTTGACTTCTTTCACTGAGATCAACACTGGAATTGTTCAAAACACTAAAATATACTGCTTCTCAGTACTTCTAAGGTGTTTCAAAGATTATGAAGCTGAACTTTCATGAATTTGCAGAAAATTACACAGTGGTGCATTTTTGACTTACCAAGAAGCGCTGTGTGCCGACTGTCCAGGTGAGTGATGTGATGAACTGTTACACTCTCAACATAATTCAAGCTAGAGGACTGGCCCACAAAGATTTTCAGGATGTCACTCGAATGTGCGCTGGCTTAGCTCTGAGCGACTGTGCTGCAGCGGTTTCATTCACTGAGATCAGAAATTGACCAGTTTTAAAAGAGAACGGGGCTTTTGATTTTTTCAAGAATCATGAACTACGTGACCCTCTGTGGCTGGCAGACCTGGCCTTTTTAGTTGATCTTACACATCATCTGAATACACTGAACAAGAACCTACAAGTAAAAGAACAGCTGGTGCCGCAGCTGTATGAGCATTCTGCGTAAACTTCCGCTGTTTTGAGGCACATATGTCACCTCTAGTGTGTGGCCCAGCCTTTTGTTAATTTTTCTGTATTGGCCCTCACTAAAAAAAGTTTGGACACCCCCGAGATAGCGCTATTGATAGTGGAGACAGATTTGTTTGAGATAAAAGAGCATGCTTCAAAATTTAGGTCTGTGGTTGGAACCAATTCCACAGCATTTTAAAGTGCACTGTATAAGGATACAACCTTTCTTTTGAAAGTCAATATTTATTCAAAAACATTACATTTGGGTCAACCGGTGAAATAATCCAATCAGTTTCAAATTTACATCCATGAAGAATTTATGTGATTTTGCCAAAGGTATGTGTGAGTACAAGTCAGGAACCCAAAATAAAAATTGTCTCTGCTCAGCCGAAAGGGAGACTACCCCAGTCTGCCAATCCAGGGGAACTGCCTCCAATGTCCATGCGATATTGCAGAGTCGCATTGACCAACATAACCATATAAAATCCAGCACCTGAAGAAACTCTGGGCGAATCTCATCCACCCCCAGGGCCCTGCCACCGAGGAGCTTTTTAACCACCTCGGCGATCTCGTCCCCAGAGATTAGAGAGCCCGACCCAGAATCCCCAGGTTCAGCTTCCTCAATGGAAGGCAAGTTGGTGGGATTGAGGAGGTCTTTGAAGTACTCCACCCACCGGCCCACAATGTCCCGAATCGAGGTCAGCAGCACACCATCCCCACTATAAACAGTGTTGGTTCTGCACTGCTTCCCCTTCCTGAGACGGCGGATGGTGGACCAGAATCCCCTCTTTTTCCATGGCCTCTCAGATCTCCTCCCACACCCGAGTTTTTGCCTCAGCAACCACCCGAGCCACATGCCGCCTTGCCCGCCGGTATCCGTCAGCTGCTTCCGGAATCCCAGAGGCCAAAAAGGCCTGATAGGACTCCTTCAGCCTGATAGCATCCCTCACCCAAGGTGTGCACCAACGGGTTTGAGGGTTGCCGCCGAGACAGGCACCTTGCGGCCATAGCTCCGGTGAGCCGCCTCAACAATGGAGGCACGGAACATGGTCCCCTCAAACTCAATGTCTGCCCAGGATGCGAGTTAAAGCTCCGTCTCACATACCCAGAAGACCCTCACAACACTTTTGGACCTGCCAAGTCTGACCGGCATCCTCCCCTCCCACTGGAGCCAACTCACCACCAGTTAGTTGTCAGTGGACAGCTCCGCACTTCTCTTCACCTGAGTGTCCAAGACATATGGCCACAGATCCAATAAAACAATGACAAAGTCGATCATCGAACTTTGGCCTAGGGTGTCCTGGTGCCAAGTGCACATATAGACACCTTTATGCCTGAACAGGGTGTTCGTTATGGACAATCCGTGACGAGCACAGAAGTCCAACAACAGGACACCACTCGAGTTCAGATCGGGGGGAGTGTTCCTCCCAACCACACCCCTCCAGGTCTCACTGTCATTGCCCATGTGAGCATTGAAGTCACCCAGCAGAACCAGGGAATCCCCAGGTGGGGCACTCTCCAGTACCCCCTCTAAGGACTCCAAGAAGGGTGGGTAATCTGAACTGCTGTTCGGCCCATAAGCACAAACACAAAAGGATGTAGAGAGACTATGCAGACAGGAATGATCAAAGATTTGTCTCCTCAAGCTCCGTCCTTGTAAAATGTCACGGAAGAAGAGGCTGGACAGAGTAGGGCCTGTGCATTGCAGCTCCACCGCCTTTGGCACTTAGGTTCATACTGTTCATGACTGCAAATAAGTTCATACCGACCCCAACATGCACTATTCCCAAGAATAAAGCTCAAACTGAAACCTGTGCAAGAACTAATCTTGAACACATTCCAGCCTTCATTTCACTCTTGCTTCTTAGTTCCAATCTAAAAGACAACAGACCAAATCATGTCCAAAACAAAAAATTTAATAAATTACATGTTTTATAAACAAAGGTTGGGAAAGATTTAGACAACAAAATACAAAACAACGCCTCAACACAATCATAGTACATGAAGAAGGGCACAGAGATCAAGTTGCCTTGGCAGAGAAGTTTGGGTCAGACCTATCTAATTATTAATAGACAACAGCTGAGGGCTGGAAGGTCAAAACTTGGAGGGGGGGTCAGAGTTGGGAGATTTGGCTGTGGTTCTGCTTGGCCTCTGCTCTCTCCTGTTGGTCCCATATGGAACCCTGAATAGGGAGTAACAGCCTATAAATCTCCGGGTGTAGAAAACTGTTCACTGCACTGATGAACAATTTACTACTCCATGCGAATAGCAGGCCAGTTTTTCCGCTTTCCTAAGTAAGTAGTTAAGATGGACGCTGTTTTTAACACACATTTTTAGCTTTTTGTTTGTTATATAAATGAAGATATTCTGTTCTTACATTTACAACATTCTAATAGTTAGTAAAAGTCAGATTTTTGAGGCATGAGATCCAAAAACATAAAAAGGGGTGCACCATCACGATTTGAGAGACACAGTTGAGCAGATGTTGGCGGGTAAACTTTTCTGTTTCAGTAGAATTAAAAGCTAGCTTAAATGACCACAGTGTGGCGACGCCATGCTCTCCTCCTTACTTGAGAATCTGGAGCTGACCTTAACACCACAGAGGATTGCTGATCAGTCCATCCTGAATAGAGGAGAAGGCAAGAAGGGGATATTGAGCTGAACCTGCTGTGATGGACCTCTGCTGAAGAAATCCACAATGAGTTGCTTGCACTTCCTCAGTTCTAATCACTTTTACCCCATCTGATCTCTGATCTCTGCCAATCTCCTGGCCCTGGCCCACCTCAAGATTAATGGAGATGGCCCTGGTCCTAGTAGGCCTACCTGTACTGGCTGCCTGACTCCACTCTCTGAGGCAACTAAAGGTCTGCAAAGGGGGGAAGCAGCTGCGGGAAATCCAAAATGGAACGCTGGGACGTTCTTTGGCGTCACTCAGAATCTTGGTATGTGATGGTGGGCTTGTTGTTGCTGGAGGTTTTGGGTATTTGCCGTGGCTCTGCTGAGAATCTACCCCTCCGTCTGCTTCCTTCCTCACAGTTGTCTCTTCTCCTTTTCCCTCTTCTGATGTCTGCACATGTTCTAATCCATTTCTCTTTTCTTTTTTTGAGCAGCTGTGTTCCCCTTGGACCGGTTCATGTGTTTCCCTTCCATCAAGCGGACCTTCATCTCTCTCTCCATAGCTTGTGTTCTTGACCAGTTCATGCTCAGAGTCCTCGTCACCGCTGCTGACTGCTAGATGGGGGCTGAGGCATTTTTTACGTTTGCGGGTCACAGCAGAGATGATGGATTTGGGAAGGAAGTCCCTGGCATTCAGATCTCTCTTGGAAGTGGAAGAAATCTGAAAAGATGAATCCCCAGTCCAGAAATCTGGCATTTCATCCTTATTTACAGCAGATAAAAAAATGAATATCACAGTAGTTTCCTTCTGCTTACCTTCAGTTTAATTGAATCACTGGTGGTGGAATCTGACCAAAGAAAGGAAGATGTGTGTTAGAACCACGTTTTGCAAAGTGATTTCAAATTATAACTTATGAACCTACAACCAAACTTTCAGGAAAACTCTTAGTGTTGGATTATTTATCTTTATTAATGAGCCACCTGGAGGTTATCAACACAATGGTTTAGTTGTCTGACAGAAAGACAGAAATGATGGCAAGAAAAACAAGAGGATGACAGAGGGGCACCACACACACACACATATGCTGTAGTTTGAAGACCTGGTCCTACCGAAGAGGGCGATCCACGGTCTGAGCTAGATCAAAGGAGAGCAGAAGGTTCAGGAGACAGAGTTTGAAATGCTGAATGTTGACTGACTTTAGCAGTAGATCTGGGAGCATCAAGCTTTCACTGGTCATCTGAGCAGACATGAAGACCCTGAAACATGCTGGCACATCAACCATACTGCAGGGGGTTCTTATTTTATTGAGATTTTGGGTTGCTGTATATGTTCAGCATATACATAGTGCTATTTGATTACTCTTAATCCCTCTTTAGACCAAAAGCAAGCCCAACTCCATGGTGTATAAAACGTGGCTGGATTGGGAGAAATGTGGAACAGCTCTTGAGTGACAGGAATGATGACACTGCAAGGTGTTCTCTTGTGATCCCATCATGTTCCTTAACACCATTAAGGTCAGACCCATTGTGCTCATGCTACAATGCTGCTTCTGCTATTTTCCATTATTTAATCTTATTGAACTAGATTTTCCCAGACATATGGAGGTTTCTTGGTCTCCCTCATCACTGTGGGCCTTCCACTGGGAAGGATCCTGATTAGCACTCTGTCACCTCATCAGTAGCAGCAACATGAAGGGGAGAGCTGTGCAACCTGAGCATACTGGATCTGGAGCTAACCCTGTGAGCTGATCACACTCCCATTGAAGCCTGAAACAGGTTCTTCTCTGACTAAGCCCCAACCCCCATCTTCCTCCTCACTGGACTTTTCTGTGATAGTCTGAAGGGATGTAGCAGTCAGATAGATGGTCCAGGTTCTCCTGCTACGAGGCCTGGTGTGGCTGATTGTCTAGCTGATTAGGTGCAGGTTCCATGTGGAGATGCTGTTCTAAGAAATATACACGTGATGCCTCTGCAAGTCCAGCATGAGCAGAACCATGTGGGCATGTGTGGTCAGTCCTGCTTCATATTCCCATGAGCTGCTCCAAAGCTTCGTTCAGGCCCAGTTTAACACCACCATGACATCCAACCAAAACATCAATGAACCTCTACCCACTGCTAGGAGCAGTGAAGGTGGAGTCTACTGCACCCCAGAAGACCTCTAAGATTCTCAAACACTACCCACACTATCTGGTGTGATGGATAAATCTCCATGTTTCACAGAGCTCCGACTCCACTACAAAACCAGATCAGACATTTCCAAGTCAGTTAGGCAACAACTACAAATGTTTATGAAATACATAATCTACTGACATAAACATTTTCAATTATGTAATTCACAGTTTTTTAAAGCAATGTTCTCCACATTCTAATCAAATTGTTGAAGAACACTCTCTTTATTGCATTAAGATTTGTTCCTGAGTTATAGACTGATTGGAAGCTTAGGGCCTCCGTGTGGAGTGTTATCAGGGGTCTTCCCAAGGTTACTCTTATTATAGGTGAAAAAAAATCTGCTATATTGATGACATCTATTTTCATAAATATTAAGGAATTATTGAGTTAAAACAAGTTATTATGTTTTCCTGGACAAAATCCTTGTAAGGTAGTTTTGTCATATTGAAGTGTGCCGAGAATCTTACACTAGAAAAAAGACAAAAGTACTTGGTACGATTTAGTGTCTTTGAAGTGTGGTACCCAGTATGCCTGCTTTATGAAGCGATTCTGTAAGGAAGCTTCCTCTAAAGCAGGGGTGTCAAACTCAAATACACAGTGGGCCAAAACTTTAAATTGAACAAAGTCGCGGGCCAAGGTTGAACAAATGAATCTTTTGATATGGACCCAAACAAGTTCTAATATAACAATAAATATTGAACAAGCAAAGCTTATCTACCTTAAAAGTGCAGGTGTGCAAAATTGAGTTGCTAATAATAATAAAACATATTATCATATTAAATAAAATATAATAAATAAAATATATTTAATATATGAAATAAAATATTAAACATATTAAATAAAATTTAAATAAAAATTGAATGCCTCCTTTCTGACCTAAATGTCACAATTAGGTTTGTACACAGGCTAATAAATTTGAAAATAAATCATTAAATAAACTATGAATAAACCATTCAGGCCTTGGCGTAACAAGAAAAGGTGCATAGAAAACTTATTTATTGCTCATTTTGCGCCACACTGATCTACTCTGATGCGGCCAAGCCAAATACCTGTCATTAATGACATTGAGTTCATCAATGTCGGGCCTCGTGGTTTGAGCTGACGAAACAATTCATTATCAAAAAAAAGGTGTTCGTCAGTCAGACGTCTCCTGTGAGATGTTTTAGTCATTTTTATTGAGGAGAAAAGTTGCTCACATAGGTAAGTGCTGGTGCGCAAGAAGACGGATCACCACCTTCATAATACACCCATGTCCTCTACCATAAGTGCTACTGACACAGAGGAGAAGGCGTGTCTGCCTCTCAGTGGCGGAGCTAGACTTTTTTTCAAGGGGGGGCCAAAGGGTGAGCAAGGCTTTATCAGAGGGGTCCATATACAAATGGACCGTTCCATGGAACGAAAGGAAAAAATATTTGTTTCCTTTCGTTCAAAATTAATTAATATAACTAGTGAGGTTATAATTCAAAGCTTTCATATGACACTTACATTTCAGTCATAAAACTTAATGGTTTTTCTCATATTCTTACCACACACATTTCAAGCAAGAGCTGGGAGATATAAAACATTAGAGGGCAGCATGTGCACTAAAACATATGTTAAAAGAATCTGTCTAAAACACGATCTATCAGCACTAGCATGGCTAATATAATAAACGAGGCACTATGCAGCGGTGCACAACCATTTTTTTTTTTTTTTTTAGAAATGTAGGACAAGTGCCGCCTCTCATTAGGAAGGTAACAGCGGTTACCGGTGAGCGGTAAAATGTTGGAAATACCTGCAAAACTCCTTGACGGTGTAACTCTAAAGCCACGGGTGTCTTTTGGATCAAGCAGGAACCACATGTCAGTTTAACCAATGAACAGCGTCGGGTATCGGGCTGCTTTCAGGGACAGTCGGAAATTACAGTTTTCCTGGCAAATCTTTGCCGATCTCATAAGTATTATATTTTAAAATTACCATTTCCAGTGGGGTGGCAGTAGGGGTGGCAAGGGCCACCCCTCTGGCTCTGCCACTGCTGCCTCTGTCCTGATTGACACGCCAAAAAACAGCAGAGCATTATGGATTCGTAGTATAACCGGTGAATGTGGCATCACCGCATTGCCACCGTATAATACCGGTGGGCCGGCTCTAATATTGATTTGAAATTGCCTCGCGGGCCAAATATAATTACACTGCGGGCCAAATTTGGCCCACTGGCCAGAGTTTGACACCTATGCTCTAAAGTCTCAGCAATCTCTGTATTTGACAGTCTGAGATTAGATCTTCTGTCCACTTCTAATGTTAAAACAAGCTGTAAATGAACCACAGGAAGCGTGGAATGCTTGGTCCTCCTCACCTGAAGCATCCCCAGGCATGCCCGCCCTGCCAATGTTTGACAGGAGGTGATCGATGTTAGGGACAGGCTGAATGTCCCGCTTACACTCTGGGGCCTACGAACACACACATCACCAAAATAAATGTAAACCTGGATACATTTTCCTGTTACAAATTTTCCAGCGGGGGGGACGCAAACTCACTGTATTGTCCTGATCCAGCTCACCATCACAGAAGAACCAGTCATGCTGCAAAATCAAAGCAGCACAATGTTAATGCACATCAAGGTTCTGCTGGAGGTTCTGAGGTTGTAGGTGGTCACTCTTACATGAAGGATGAGTGTCTCCACTATTTTATAACGGTCAGGCAGGTGGGTGACCATGTCAGTCATATTGTCCTCTGACGTCCTCACCAGAGTGGGACCAAACACCAGAGCCAGGTTTCTTGGCTCCATCTGGAATAAGGCCAGAACTCCATCAGTGACAAAATGGTGTGTTTGAGTGGAAATGCTCAGTCAATGTCAGGGGGCACAAAGCTCACCTTGTTCTTTTCAGAGTGGTCTGCCACCATCTTCAAATGACTCACCAGGAACTTAAGGGTATGGTAATAATAATCTGGGAGGTCATGAATCTGAAACGAGCCAAGGGATGTATGTTAGGAATGTCATCTGGTTTTATCACGGCAGATTTTAAAAGTTGTCCACATCTTGAGAGCACACCAGTTTTTTCATGGTCTTCAGTCTGTCATAAACAACTTCTATCCGGTTGGCATCGATGAAGTTGTTATATTTGTCTGCATACAAAAAAACAGCAATCTTCTTCTTAAAAGTGAAAAACTCAGTGACATAAGCTTCTTTCATGCTGTAGATGTGTCTTCACAGTGAAGAACGAGGGTGGGGCCGCCCAGACTCACCATCAGTGAACAGAGGCTCAGGCAGATTTCTGAAGAATGATTTAAGCAGACTGCTGATGACATTCAGATCTTGCCATCTCTGTAAAGAGACAAAAGGAGGCAGAATTATCCAAATCAAATCTATGACCCTAAAGGCAGGATATCCCATCGAAAGTCTGAGAAAATGCAAGCTCTCCAAACCTCTTCAGCAGTATTGATGTCCAGGCCCTTGTTGAGGTGTTCCTGCAGACTTGACACCATGGCATTGTTCCCAGGCACGCGGTAGATTCCGGTGTACTCCAGACCAGAGGACTCCACCACACCGCAGCATATCTCAACAATCAGAGGGACAAACTGTGGACAGGAAAAAATCTCTACTTCTTGGAACCACTATCACTTTCAAGTGTATCCCTTAAATGATCATAAATTTTTTTTTTCACTGTTCACAAGTTTCTGTCTGTTTGAATGAAAAGTTGTTATTGTAAATGGCATTTTCCTTCAGTAAGAAAATCAAAAAGCAAATGTAAATAATAATCTGTATTAGAAGTAGTTGTGAAGTAGTTGGTGTCGTTCCCTAAATATCTGATCATTTAGTGAAGCTTATGTTAAATAAAACTTTCCATCATGCCATGTGTTGGTAAGAGTATTTTAGGAAAGCAGAGCAGTGGCAGTTGTTGAATGAGAAAAATTAGTGAGTCAGAAGAACTTTTTTTTTTCAAAATTGCCAACTTTTTCTTCAGCATAGACCGGTGTTTGTCAAACTCTGGTCCCCCACGGAGTGGTGGTCCACGGGCACCCCCGATTGGTCTGTGAGATACTGCATGTAAACAACCGTTCATTTGCTGAAATGTAAGATCAAAGTGCAATTCTACAGGTAGCCTGACAAACCAACAAGCCCCTGGCTCTCCATCACCTGCTACAGGTAACCTTTGAAAATAATGGATAAATGTCTTGAGACTGGGAAAGAAAGCCTAAAGATAGTAATAGAAAGTTTATCAGGATTACAGAAAGGTTACAGAACCTTTGTTTTTTAACACTAATATTGATGCATGCTGCAATATTTTCAATAATTATAAAATAAACAAAATGTGATCTAAAATTTGGGCTGCACAGTGGCGCAGTTCGTAGCACTGTTGCCTTGCAGCAAGACGGTCCTTGGTTCGATTCCCGGCTGGGGTCTTTCTGCAAGGAGTTTGCAAGTTCTCTTCATGTTCTCTGGCTTCCTCCCACAGTCCAAAAACATGACTGTCAGGTTAATTGAAATTCTCCTTAGGAGTGTGTGTGCATAGTTGTTTGTCCTTTTTGTCTGTTTTGCCCTGCGACAGACTGGCGACCTGTCCAGGGTGACCCCGCCTCTTGCCCGGAACCCAGCTGGAGATAGACACCAGCAACTCCTGATCCCATTAGGGAGAAGGGTGATCAGAAAATGGATGGATGGATGGATCTAAAATTGAGCCTTGTGGAAACCCATACTTTAAAGGTTTGGCCCCTGAACAGCATTGGTCAAGATGAACTGAGAAGGTTCTGTCTTCTCTCAGGCCAACACAATGTTTCAATCTATATAAAAGAATCTGATAATCTGCAGAATCAAATGCAGCGCTCGAAGCAAAGCTGTTTCAGTGCTGTGAGCAACTTTAAACTTGACATGTTTGGATTTAACCTTCTGACCCACATGCAGAATCTACACGTTTTTAGGTAATCTACACGTTTTTATTGTCAACAGAACAAAACAATAACAGGTCTTCTTGACTTCACTGGGGAGGGTTAGGATCACACAATCGGGGATGCTCCAGGGTGGTTTGATGAGGAGTGGGAGAAAGGTGTCCAGGGTCTTGTGTGGGGAGTGGTGACGGTGGCTCCAGAGGCGAATGCGAGGAAGGTGATGGAGAGCCAGGGGCTTGTTGGAACGGAGTGGAGATGGCCATCAATATCCCGGGCGTGTGGTGGGGGTCTAGAAGGAGGGCAAAGAGGGCTGGAACGGACAGGTTTGAGGAGAGAGACATGAAACACAAGGTGAATCTTTAATCCAGCGGGAAGCTTGAGGCAGACGGCTGAAGGACTGAGCACAGAAGTTATCTCAAAGGGACCAATGAACCGAGGGGACAGCTTACAATTGGATGCTTTGAGATTGATGTCACGAGTGGGTCCAGGTGAGTACGAGGGCACAGGTGTTCTCTTACGATCTGCCCAAATGCAATTCCCCTCCGCTGTCCAGTTGAGAGCAGCATTGGTTTGTGTCCAGATGTGTCTGCAACGGCGGAGGTGATGCTGGACAGAGGTGACAGATGACTGTTGATCATCTGATGGGAACAGAGGGGGCTCATAACCAAGACAAGACTCAAAAGGTGATAGGCCAGTAGCAGTTGAGGTGTGACTATTGTGGGCATACTCCACCCAAGGCAAGTATAAACTCCAGGTTGCAGAGTGCGAGGAACAGAGACAACGAAGAGTAGCCTCAAGCTCCTGGTTCAGGCATTCAGTCTGACCATTAGTTTTGGGATGAAACCCAGAACTGAGAGTTACCTTAGCCCCTAGAGTGGTACCAAACTCCTTCCAGACTCTAGAAACAAACTGCAGGCCTCTGTCTTACAGGATCTCAGTGGGGATTCCATGCAAACGTAACATGTTTGGTTAGAAGATGAGCAGTTTGCATGGCAGTGGGAAGTTTACGTAAGGGAACAAGATGACAAGCCTTAGAGAAACTGTCAATGACAGATTATATTGTGATAAAGCCCTTAGAAGGTGGCAATCCAGTAACAAAGTCCAAGGCTATATGTGACCATGGACGTTTGGGAACTGGGAGAGGTTGAAGTAACCCACTGGGGGGCTGATTACGGGTCTTATTGCGAGCACAAATGGGACAGGCGAGCACATAGTCCTTGACATCATTATATAAGGATGGCCACCAAAAGTTTTATCTGATCAGTGAGACTGTTCTGTTAATGCCAGGATGACAAAAAAACTTTGCCGTATGGGCCCAATGAATGAGACGAGCTCTGATGGCTGAAGGGACATATAGACGGTTGAGCGGTCTATTAACTGGACTGGGTTCCGTTCGTTGAGCTGCCAGTACCTGGTTTCTAATCTCCCAAGAGAGGGCTCCAATAACACACGTTGGTGGAATGATGGTGGCAGGTGGTGTATCTAGATCGGGGGAAAACCATCTTGAAAGCCTGTCTGGCTTGGTGTTCTTAGACCCTGGCCTGTAAGAAATTGTAAAGTTGAACCTGGAGAAAAAGAGGGACCAGCGAGACTGTCTGGGATTCAATCTTTTGGCTTGTTGAAGGTAGGTTAGATTCAACAATGGGATGCTCGGCCCCCTCTAACCAGTGACGTCATTCATCAAAAGCCATCTTTATGGCCAGAAGTTTTCTGTCACCTACGTTGTAGTTTCTTTCTGCTGATGAGAGACGACGGAAGAAGAATGCACAGGGGTGCAATTTATCATCACTGGAAGAAATCTGTGACAGGACAGCCCCCACCCCTGAATCAGATGCATCCACTTCAACAATAAATTGCTTTAATTGATCTGGTTGCATGAGGATGGGTGCAGTGGCAAACCTCCTCTTTAATTCTAAAAAAAAAACTTTGTTCAGCTTCAGGTGACCAACAGAAACTAGTTTTGGTGGATGTGAGACTGGTCAGGGGAAGAACTGTTTGGCTATAGTTGTTAATGAAACGGTGGTAAAAATTTGCAAACCCCAGGAAACGAAGTTGCTTGTGGGATGTGGGCGTTGGCCAGTCCAAGACCGCTTGAACCAGCGCTGGATCCGTCTTCACCTGCCCGCTCCCCAAAACATAGCCAAGAAATGTGACTGATGAGGCATGGAAGTCACATTTCTCAGCCTTGACAAACAACTGGTTCTCCAACAGCCGCTTAAGGACCAGGCGGACATGTCTCTTGTGTTCCTCTAGAGATCTTGAAAAAATGAGAATGTCGTCAAGATAGACAAAGACAAACTGATTAAGATATTCCTTAAGGACATCATTGACTAGTGACTGAAACACAGCTGGTGGATTCATGAGGCCAAAAGGCATAATGAAATACTCAAAATGGCCGAGTGGCGTCCTAAACGCCGTCTTCGACTCATTCCCCTCTCGCATTCTGATCAAGTGGTAGGCATTACGGAGGTCTAGTTTGGTGAACATCGTGGCTCCCTGAACGAGTTCAAAAGCTGAGGCACGTAATGGCCATGGGTATTTATTCTTTACTGTGATTTGGTTTAAGGCTCTGTAGTCGATGCATGGTCTGAGTGTTCCATCTTTCTAACCAACGAAGAAAAACCCAGCTCCCATAGGTGAAGTTGATTAACGAATTATGCCAGCAGCCAGGGACTCACTGATGTATCTCTCCATGCTCTCTCTCTCAGGTTTGGAAATGCTGTACAAACGGTGGTGCTTCTGGAAGATCATTAGCACAATTGTATGGACGGTGAGGAGAAAGAGAGAGAGCTTGTTACTTACTGAAAACCATGTGAGGGTCATGATATTCAGATGGTACACTGGCCAAGTCAGCTGTAGCGGGTTCATCTGAGAGACTACTTGAGGAAGAGCAGAGTGAAGACAAGATGACAAACAGGACTCTACCTGGCTGCTCCTCCAATCCAGCTGTGGATTATGGCAGACAAGCCATGGATAGCCCAGAACCACTGGAGACTGAGGTGAAGGAAATACAAAAAAATCATCTCACGATGATTTTCCGAAACTAAATGTTCAATGGGAGTTGATGAGTAAGGCTTTACCATTCAATGCCGTGACCAAGACTGGGACTGGAAGAAGAACAGTGGGTATTTGGAGTTGACTAACCAGGTTATCATCAATAAGGTTTTGCTCACATCCTGAATCAATTAAAACGAATGTCTGAAAGGACTGGTTACTTGTAATCAAGGAACAAGGTAGAGTAAGACGGGAAATCTTCTTTGAGTTGCCCACCACTGCTCCCATAGCTAATGGTGGGCCTTGTCTTTTGGCAGATTCTAGCAGTTAGAGATGTAGTGCTGTGTTTGACCACAATAAAGGCAGGCTCCAGATCTCATGCAACGCTGGTGCTCCTCTGGAGTGAGTCTGGTTCTTCCTATTGCATAGGCTCCTCTATGCTCTGGTTAGCAGGGATGGTATTGGTCTCAACTCTGCTTGGGCCAAAACTTAGTTCCTTCTTAGCTCTGGTTCTGTGTCTGATCCTGTTGTCGATCCTAATAGCCATAGTAATGAGATCTTCCAATGACCCAGGTTCATCTCGGTAAGCCAGTTCATCCTTGATGTTCTCATTAAAGAGCTTGTAGAAAAGCTCCTTTTAATGCCTCAGTGTTTCAATTAAACAATTAAGGCACTAGAGCTGTAACAGCATAAACGTA